CTTCCAGAATTGCCGCGACCCCCCTACTTGCGCCTGCTGCGCCTGCTGCTTTCCCCCCGCATGGGCATATCGAACCTGTCGGGCATGCTGGTCTCTCTTCTATGTCCCCTGGGAATGGGGTGGGGCTGGGGGCCTTCCCCGCGAGTCCACAGGGGCAGCGGGCACCTGCTGGGCATCGAGCACCTTCTGGACGTCGAGCCTCCTGTATATATCGAGCGCCCTCTGGACGACGACTTTCACCAGTTCCGCTACTTCATACTGATGGCCCGCCTGGAAGCACCATCTCGCCCGAAGACCCTGTGGGCGGAGCACGGGCGGAGGGCGACCTGCCCCCGCGCGCGGAGGCGGCTGGGGACCTTGCGGGACAGGGGATTCAGCCCCCACCTCAGCCGCAGGAGGCACCGCATTCGTTGGTCATCCCCGTCGATGATGGCGCCGATGCTCAGCCACACCGGCCTGTCCTTGCTCAGCCTGCCGTTCGTGATGCTGCTGCAGTTCTACCGCTTGGACTCTGTGTCCCTTGTGGGCTTCTCAACGACGATCATGACCTTCGGCGTGCTATGTGCGGTCTGCCTTTCGATTCAGACGTGGAAGATGCTCATGATGAAGCTCCTGGGCTGCCAGCCTTTTCTGACGCAAGTGGTGGGTGCCTCCTCTTCCTCGACGAGTCGAAGATCGAGCGCGCTGCGGTGGCGCCCCCAACTAATGCAGCAGACGTGGGCTTCTCCATCACCTCTGACCCTCTCGACGTGGTGCCATGGCTTCTGCAGAACCCAGACAACCTTCTCGTGCACCCTGAGAACGAGCCTACGGGGAGTGACGCGGCTGGTGGCACAGGGACGCCGCCTGCATCACCTGCTGATCTGGATGAAAAGTGCACGCTGGTGGGACCCTCTCGATGAGAATGCCGCCATCTTGCAGGAGCTCGACCAAGTGGAGGATGACAGCGCCGAGATTGACGAGTACACAGTGGCGCTCGCTGCTGCGTCAACGTCGCATGGCCCTGCTGTCTCTGTGCAACACAACGCGTTCTTCCCTGGAGGCACTGCGGCGCCATGCGGCGGAGCGGTTCTCTCCTCGGCAGCTTCTTTGGGCGGCCCTGGCGCTGTCGCCGACGCAGCTGAGTATGGGGTCGGCTTCCACGACGACTTTTTCGATCACGAGGGCACCCTGGAGGAGTGCCTGAGGTCAGGCCCCGCGGGAGCCGCGGGCGGCGCGGCGAGCGTGCCCTGGTGAGGAACGAGGACGGTGCGCCCTTCAGTGGCGTGGGTTCGTCCTCCTCCTCCTCTTCCTCCTCCTCCTCTACCTCTTCCTCCTCATCCTGGCAAACTATCCCATCGGAGGAGGCCCTGGAGTTCTTCCCTGTCGCACCACCAGGCGTGCGCGTCCGTAGACCTCCCCGGACGTTTCGCTATCGATATTCCCATATGTTACCATCCTGAAACTCATAGCGACCAACCGGTGCATGGATGAAGATTGGTACTTTTGCTAAATTCGTCTGTCGCCTTCGCCCCGTGACAAGTGTTCTAAACCTTGTAACTGCTACGCGCATTGAAAGGCTAACTGGTTGTCACAATGTGGCTCCCGCTTTGTAATTTCCAATCATGCTGCTACGAATTTACAAATTGTGCAACAGCCACACGGGTGGAGGGCGGCTCCTGGTCAATATCGGGTTCTCGCTTGAGACGTCTTCAAACTGAACGGACAGCCGCTACAGCCTTGTCAAAGTGGTGCTCTCGCATCAGACGGCTTCCAATGTTGTAGCCAAAAGCCTTAGCATGTGCCCCAATTGCGATGGCGGGGGTCGTTTTTTTCAAAACGGAGCTTTCGCTGGACACCGCGTTGAATTTTATGATGTCAGTTTTGCTTATTCGTTGTACCTCACCAGAAACATGCAATGCCGCTCCTGCTCAAGAGAGCGTTTTTTTCCTCTACGTGAGTGGCAGGCTCAAGAGGGCGCTTGTCTTTCGAAGGGGCGCTCCTTGTAGTGAATCAGAGGGCCAGCGGGGCTTCTTCTGCGGCGGGAACTCGGGATGGGAGGGCGCAGTTCATGCATCAGAGTTGATGCATCTTCTCTTTACGAACAATGACATCAGCATAACAACTCGGAGGTCCGCGCGGATTTTTCGGAGTGGCGTTTGACCCCCGTGGGCGTGGCTAATGCAGCAGAGTTGATGCGTCTTCGGTGCACGCTGGTCCGTCCCCGCACTTTCTGGAGTCCGAGCGCTGCCAGAGAGCATTGGGGGTGCGAGTGGACCTTCGCTGGATTGGCCACGGCAAAGACGACCGCGACGAAAACGACGACCACGAAGATGGGGAAGAGGACGATGGCGATCACGAAGATGGGAACGGGGACGACGACGACTACGACCACGACGACGACGACGACGACGACGACGACGACGACGACGACCACGACGACGACGACGACGACGACGACGACGACCACGACGACGACGACGACGACGACGACGACGACGACGGGGGTCCCCCCAGCCCTGGCCCGCGGACCCGGACCGGCCCCCCCGCGGGAGGAGCGGAGGGTGGAGAGCAAGCCCCCACTTCCGCACGGCGTGCCCGCAACCACGGCGGCGGGCTCGGTGCCATGTTTGGCTTCCGGAGGCCACTGCCAGGCCCCCAGGACCCAGGGGCGGAAAAGAGGGGGGTGATGACTAGGGGTGTGTGGATATCATGGCGGGAGCCATGATTTTTCCGCAGATCTCATGGCGCCCCTTCTTATTTCATTACGTCCCTGGCCCCCCCGCGGGGCCGCGCACATGCCGCCAGTCATGATTTGCACCCCCCCCTCTTGGACACCCCCCTCTTGGCCGCTCCCCAGGACCGTCAAGAGACGACCCGAGACGAAAAGACGGTCCTAGGGAACGTGCCGTGGCCTCTGGGGCTCCGTGCTACGAGAAAGTCACGGCTTCGGAGGCTGGGGCGTGGGGAAGAGGGGGCGGGGAACGAGTGGAGGGGAGGGAGACGTGAGGGGATGAGGGGAAGGGATGATCGATGAATGTGATATTCCCTATGGGGGTCTCCAGCTTGGTGCACGTGAAAATTTCAGTAGGGGGTGGGGAGGCGGGAGGGGTGTCAGGGAAGAGGGGGTAAGAAAGGAGTGAGGGAATGAGGGAGGGGGGCAGGATCGATGTGAAGAAGAGGAAGGAGGGAAGAAAGGGAGGGTGAGAGGAGGAGGGCAGGGATGAAAAGTTGCCGGTATGCTTCCAGGAAGGCATGCAGTGGTCGATGCAAATTTGGGTCTTCTGCGCGTTGACACGCCAGCTAGCTGCGGTATCCCAGGTCATGCCTCTGGAGACTTGGCCTCGCAGATTGCCATTTGCACCAGCATAGACGCGTGCCTTCCGCACCCGTGGGGTGCAATCCATGGATGGGCCAGACGGGTGGAAACCCTCGCTCTGATCTTTTGGTGGGACATGAGAGCACTAAGCATTTTACAGGCATGGCTGCCCATGACACACGGCGGTCGCTGACACTTGTTTTCCCAACCATCCTGTGGTGTTGGGTCCTCGTTTTGAAGAGACAGCGCCCCGCGTCTCTCCTTCCTCCTCTCCTCCTCCCCCTCCTCCTTCCTTCCGTCATCATTATCATCAGCATCGTCATCGTCATCGTTATGTTCATCGTCCTCATCACCATCATTATCGTCTTCATCATCGCTACCATCATCGCCATCAGCTTCGGCACACACCTCACACGTTTCGTGGCCCCATTGGGAGCTCCATCGAAGGTCCCATTGGCGCAGTTCGCATGGCGGCGCCGCCCCATTTTGGCACACCTCTCACACGTTTCGTGGCCCCATAGGGAGCTCCACCTGAGGTCCCAGTGGCGCAGTTCGTATGGCGGCGGCGCCCCATTTTGGCACACACTCACGCACTCACACCTCACACGTTTCGTGGCACCATAGGGAGCTCCACCTAAGGTCCCATTGGCGCAGTTCGCATGGCGGCGCCGCCCCATTTTGGCACCATAGGGAGCTCCTTCTAAGGTCCCAGTGGCGCAGTTTGCATGGCGGCGGCGCCCCCTTTTGGCACACCCCTCAAACGATTCGTGGCCCCACAGGGAGCGCCACTGGCGCAGTTCGCATGGCGGCGGCCCCCCCTTTGGCACACCTCTCACACGTTTCGTGGCACCATAGGGAGCTCCACCTAAGGCCCCAGCGGCAGCGGTTCGCATGGCGGCGCCGCCACATTTTGGCACACCCCTCACACGTTTCGTGGCACCATACGGGGTCCCAGCGGCGCAATTCGCATGGCGGCGCCGCCTCACTTCGACACACCCCTCGCACGATTCGTGGCCCCATAGGGAGCTCCACCTATGGTCCCATTGGCGCAGTCCGCATGGCGGTGCCGCCCCATTTTGGCACACACACACACACACACACACACCTGGCACGCTTCGTGGCTCCATAGGGAGGTCTGTCCAGGGTCCGGTTCGCATGGCGGCGGCGCCCCATTTTGGCACACCCCTCAAACGATTCTTGGCCCCATCGGTAGCTTCACTGAAGGCCCCAGCGGCAGCGCCCGCATGGCGGCGCCGCGCCATTTTGGCACACCCTGCACACGTTTTGTGGCCCCATAAGGGGGCTTTACCGAAGGCCCCAGTGGCAGCGCGCGCATGGCGCCCCTGCTCCATTTCGGCACACCCTTCACACGCTTCCTGGACCCATAAAGGGATCTACCGAAGGCGATATTAACAACGACGGTATTCACAACTGCATATGGTGGGGTCCTTCGCCAGGCTAATTGAGATGCTTATGTTCTTGTTATGTTCAACGCCCAGCGCCTCCTACTGCGTGCATGTTACGCTGTCTTCAAGGCAAGCGTGCATTTGTTGTTACCCATGTGAGAGTATGCAGGGTGCTTCCACTACGGCAGTTCACTGTTACGTTCTGTTCAAGGAAGGCGTGCATGCAGGACTCCTGCGTTCACCCAGAACTCCTGATCCCACATCCCTTCTTGATAAACAATCGCCACTCTGCTCAGGGCGATGGCGTTTTCTGGGAGAAGGAGCCGCCACGCCGCCTTCATCTGCTTTTTCTCGGTGCTCGCTGCCTGTCCTTCCATGCTGCCGGCGATTGTTACCACGCCTGTGTATGTGTCTGTGTTGATGGATCGCTCTCGTTCTGTCGCTTTTTTTTTTGTTCTCTCTCTCTCTCTTTCTCTCTCTTTTCTATCACTCTTTATCTCTGCCGTTGTATCATAGATGTGTATGCATGCACGTATGTCTTCGATTTTCATACACATACATATCTATATACATATATATGTACATACACACATCGATGTATTTCATAAACGCAAATGTATATAGGTACACATGTGTGTATCTATACGACCACCCTTCGGGTGATAAGGAGGTTCGGGGGGGAGGAACCAACGTCTCACTCGATCGGTCTCACTATCGATCTCACTATCGGTCTCGCTCGATCGATCTCATCCGATCGATCTCACAATCGATCTCACTCGATCTATTTCACGCGATCGATCTCACAATCGATCTGACTATCGATCTCACAATCGACCTCACTATCGATCTCACTATCGATATCACACTCGATCTCACATTCGGTCTCACTATCGATCTCACTATCCATATCACAACCGATATCACAATCAACTTCATCATCATCAACATCATCGTCATCAACGTCATCCACATCACCACCACCATCGTGACACCATCATCATTATCACCTCATCACCATCATCATTCACATCATCAGCATCATCATCATCATCGGGACACCATCATCGTCACCATCATCATCATCAACATCGTCTTCGGGACACCATCATCACCATCATCGGAACACCACCATCATCACCATCATCATCTCATTATCATCATGAACAACATCATCAACATCTTCATCATCGGGACACCATCATCATCATCATCAGCAGCCTCACCATCATCAACATCATCATCATCATCATCATCATCGGGACACCATCGTCATCGTCACCATCCTCATCACCACCATCATCATCATCGGGACACCATCAGCATCATCATCGACATCAGCATTATCATCATCATCATCATCGGGCCACCATCATCAAAATCATCATCATCACGTCACCCTCATCATCATCAACAGCATCTTCATCGGGACACCATCATCATCATCAC